GCAGGAGGATCGCTTGAGCCCAGGAGTTTGAGGTTGCTGGGAGCTAGGCTGATGCTACGGCACTCTAGCCCTGGGCAACAGAGCAAGACTGTCTCAAAAAAAACAAAAACAACAGAATTCCTAAATTCCACAGGCTTCAAACAAGCATAGAGACAATAAAGAAGGTGAAATATTTAAAATATGATTTTTCTATTAATGTTGAAGATACAGGAATCTGAGCATCTCTATAGTCCCATTTTGTTTTATACACAGAATTGTAGCTCTCCAAAAAGCGTGCAGTTGGTGCGCACCTGTAGTCCCAGCTACCACGGAGGCTGCGGCAGGAGGATCACTTAAGCCCAGGAGCTCAAGGCTGCAGTGAGCTACGATTGTGCCTGTGAACAGCCACCGCACTGCAGCCTGGGCAACTCAGCAAGACCCATCTCAGAACAAAACAAAAACAAGAAAACTTGTTGGAATTAGACTGAGTTTCTTGCAACAACGCAAGGGGCCAGAGAGTGGACATGGTAGGGCACAAGGCAGTCTCCCAGTGCTGACCTTCAGACTTGGGGAGCACCACCTGTTGGATACCTTTCCTGTGAACCCTGGAGACTGCAGCCTAGTGCAGCCGACATGCGCACATTTCTGCAGTTTGTCAATCCTTGGTTTGTGAGCACTTCAGACGAAGCAGAGACTCCTTGGGCACTGTATGCCCCCAGATCTGTCTGCTCGGGGAACACGACCCCCATAGGAAGAGCGTTGGTGCAGCAAGGTCTGCGTGTATCTCTGTCCTTGGGAACATGAAGGGCAAATGTGGATGGGTGGAATTTTTTGTTGGCTACCGTAGAATTATGACTGAAAAAGAATGAGGAGAGAGGCTTCTGATCATGGCAGCGTAGGTCATACTAGGTCACTGCTCCCCGACAGTGACGAACCCTGGGCAAACATACAAGGGAGAACAGCTGCAGGCAGCAGACGGGGGAAGAGGGTAGCACTGGGTGAGTTTCCTGCTTGTAACTTCTTGCCTCAGGGCAGGCCCCAGTCAGGGCCACTGTGGGCCTGGAGAAGGCACAAAGAAACCTGCACTCATCTGGCTTAAAGAACCAAAATAAAAATGTTTGTTGACTGCAGCAGTTGGAATGTGAGGGCGGAAATACTGGAATAGAGCAAGTCACAGGGGAGCCCAAATTCTGAGTATAAACTCTGCTCTATTCACTAGTTGACCCTGCACGATGCATGGGGGTGGGGGTGGGGGTGGGGGTGTGGGCAGACTTCAAGGAGTCAAACTGAAGCTACAGGTATTGAACAGGGATTTCAGCTGCTGTCCACCACAAGAGAAAGAGTTTAGACTTTGAGTTGAACAAAGGTGACTGCCTAATAAAACACACTTTTTTTTTTTTTAAAAGTAATACTCTTTGAAGGAATGTAACAGAATCCAAAGTCTCTACAATGGATTATCCACAATGTTCACAATACAAAGAAGTTACTAGACATAAGAAGAAATAGGAAAACATGACCCATATGCAAGAGAAAAGGTAAATAATGGAGATCAACCCTATATGATCCAGATAATAGAATTAGTAGCAAAGATTTTAAAGCAGCAATTTTAACTGTGCTCGAGGATATAAAGGAAAATATGTTTTTAACAAATGAACAAATAGGAAATTTAACAAAGAAATTCTAGAACTGAAAAACACAAAATCTAAAATAAAAAATTTGCTGGAGAGGTTAAAATCAGAGTGAAGATAGCTAAAGAAAATCAGTGGATTTGAAGATAGTTCAATATAAATTATCTAATCCAAAGAACAGAAAGAAAAAAAAGATAGAAAATGATGAATAGTAATCACAAATGTATGTCCACTTAATGTGAGAGGACTGATACTTAATTGGAGTCCCACAAGAGGAGAAAGAGAATGAGGGAGAAAAATAATAGCAAATTTCACAAATTTGGTAGAAGACATAAATTTACAATGCCAAGAAGCTCAGGATAAATAAAATGAAAACACCTAGAGACATCATTGTATAACTGCTGAAAACCAAATAGAAAGAAAATCATGAAGCAGCCAGCAAGGTGGGGAGAGGGGGAGAGACACGTCATATGAGGGCGAGGTGACACTGCTGACAGCTGACTTCATACCAGAAACGATGGAGGCCAGAACATAGAGGAAAGACATCCCTGTATGGAAAGGGAAAACCTGTCAAATCAGAATTCTTTATCTGATGAAAATAACCTTAATGAATAAAGGCAAGATAAGGACATTTTGGATTAATGAAAAGTAAGAAAATTCATCATCAGGAGATCTGTACTTGAAAGAATACTAAAGGGAGTTCTTCAGGCTGAAGAGGAATGATACCACATGAAAATCTGAATCATTGGTAAGAAAAAACACCAAAAATTATAAATATGTAGGTAAACATAAAAGGCTGTTTCTTTCCTTTTAATTTCTTTAGAATAAATTTGACTGTTTAAAGCAAAAACTATGATAGTACTTATAGTACTATAGTACTATGATAGTATTTATAATATATGTTGATGTTATAT